AACTGTGTTCTTGGTTTTTTTTTTAAAAATGGCAAGTAATGAGACTTAACTCAATAAAAGAAAATACACCATTACGAGGTCGCTACAATCTCATCTTTAATGACGTTTTGTGTCATTACTTTACACTTTTAAAAAAAAATCAAAAACGCAGTTCGATAGAGACAAATTTTCCCTACAATATGTGATCAAACTTATATCGGGCTGATGTCAAAAATGCAAGCACCAATCCGTGAAGATTTGCTATTGATTCACATTTTTCATTGTGCTTTTTCGGGTAAGACTCCGTATTTGAATATATTATATTGAGTTTTTATTAATCCAATTTAATCATAGAATAAGAAAGGATAGATTTAATTGTTGGACTATAAATTGGTAATACTTATGGATCAATTGGTTTTTTTCCGAGTTACCATTTGACGAAACAATTATTTTGGCTGGTTTTTTTTCTTAATTGAAGAGGGAACATATTTAATGCATCAATGGAATGATGTCTACCAGTAAAATAATTTATTTTCATAAATCTTAAAATAAATGCATCACATCGTAAGGTTATCAGACTATTATTCTTTTAGCAAGTGCTCCACAGTGAATATGAGACTATATTAAAGATAATGTTTCCCGGTTATGTCTTCTGATATTATATCATATGAGAAGATGAAACACTAATTTTAATGTCACGATGCCATACAATGAAACACCTACTAAATAAATACCATCGGACTTTAGATGGCGTTGGATTAAAATTGAAAATTCTAATAATTTCTCTTTATTCATTAATATATTAAAAACAATATTTGCAAATTCGAATAATCATTGATAAATATTACTTTTCTCATTTATCAACAGATTCTTATTATATTTTGAATTTGCTAAATAGTAATTTTGTTTTTAGATTTAATTATAAACATGGATCTATTCGTTGGTGTCGCATCACCTTCAACACAAATTCCTGAAAGTAATGTTTTAGACGATATGCGTCGTGAAGCTGAAACAAATGCTCTTCGAATAATTCAAGCTAAATTAGAAAAACCAGAAAATCTTGAAAAACTTGATCAATTACGTACTGCTGCTGCACAACGAAAGGTTCTTATCTAAATGACAAATAATCATATTTTCCAATCTATGTTTTTATTTCAGCGTACTCTTGATGAACAATTACGTACAGCAGTTCAATCCCAGCTAGAAAGTATAAAAACAGGCATTGCTCAATTACAAATCTCTCTTGACAGTATGAAAACAGTTGAACGAACAATGCGTGAAACAGATGATACATTACAAAAAATTGAGCAATGCCTGTTTTTATACTTTCTAGCTGGGATTGAACTGCTGTACGTA